AATTAATACCGAAACTGGCAGCGTCGCGAATGTTGCGACGCGTTTATTCGGCAAGTTACGATTGAGGTATGGTTTCGTATCGCGATATTTAGCGTAACATAAACGCACGGCTTCTCGGCAATTCATCAAAACTCTCCAACATTTATTTCGCGAAACGTTATGCATTTCGAGCGGATTGTAATCTGATCGAACGTGCTTTCTCTGTTCGATCGTTATTTTTCACAATGTAATAAAATCTGGAGTGTCGGGCCGCGCGGTTATTATATTCTGGCGATTATTATATTGTATTTTAGAAATTAATAACGTGAAATTGCGTGATCAAATTATTAATCATAATTGTTTTTTCCAGTGTTGTGTCACATGAGTGCGATGAATCTATGCATGAAGAGGATCCTGATATTCTGAGGAGAAAGGAGGAGAAAGTTTAGGAAAATCATCGGATGCATCGGATGCTGCAACTGTATGTAAAAAAATTTTCTTAATTTTAAATCTGTTACTTTAATATTTCTTTCTTTCTCTCTCTCTCTTTCTTTTTCAAATTTTTAAAGAAGCCTATGTTTAGCTTCTCTATATTTTTCTCTATATTTAATTGGTGAGAACAAGAAAGAAATATTCTGATTTTTTTCATGTGCGTATATTACAAGCGTAAATAAAATAACAGGAAATACATCGCATATTCCATCTAATTTATTTCATTAAGAGTACTCAATGAGATTATTATTACATTTTCATATCTCAGTTTTGCCTAATCTTTTATAATTCATTTACTATTCCAAATGAGTATTTATTATATAATTGCAAATATGTGACGAGAAAATTTCGTTACATAGTTTTACAAGTTTATTATTAGAAAATACATCGTGATTTTTATATTTTTATATTTTTATATTTTTCGCGTGAGGACAGAACGCACTATAAGATAATCTATTTCTAATTTATTTATACAATTGTTTATTATTGATCGTTACATAATCCAACTGTATATTTTAATAGTACATTTTGAAGAAACATTAAACAGTTTAATATTACATTAGAATGTTTAATTAATCTTCAAAATGTGCTATATTAAAATGTATCAGTTGGATTATGCGATGATCAATAATAAACAATTAATCGTATAAATAAATCAGGAATAGATTATCTTATTGTTTCGTTCTATAGTTAAAATTTCAGTTGCAGATACCAAATTACTCAACTATTCAGAATCTGTTGTCTGGATAGTTGATTTTTATTTCTACTTTATTTAGAAAAATGATTAATATAGACCTTAGAATATACTGTTAAAATATTACGGGATGTTCTATAATGAAATAAATCTAAAGAAATTTGGTATCTGCAACTGAAATTTTAACTCAATGGAAACAGAGAATTTACCAAGTCGAAAATTACATATTCCGTCTGATCATTTTCAGTCTTAACTACTGAATTTTGCCATTTCAAGCTGAATTTCAATCTATTTATCTAAGCCAATGCAAATAACTAACAAGTTTTGATTAAATTTTCTTTAACGATGTTTAACAACATATTTAAGCAAACATATTCAGACGAGATATCTATAGTCACGTATATGTATCATGAATAACGATATACATAATTTCGAGAGAAATAACAGTTATGTTTGAATCAGTATCGATTTTCGATGAAGATATGAACAAACTTATTGTTAGTTCAATATCGTAGTTTCCATAAGACAAATAAACGTAGAAATCGCGCGTTTAAAACATCAAAATCTGCATTTTTATTAAGATTCTATTCATTTCAATCCCGAACAATAACGCGATGGCAAAAGGTATTTTTATGAAAAATGTTTCGCGTTGAAATACCCAAAATAAAGTTTGACAATTTATATTGAGAGATTTATACATATATATATATATATATATATATATATATATATATATATATATGTATATGTATTCGCAATTTTGAACCGCGACAGTGAACCGTTAAACACATCAGAAAGTAAAATGTTGCAGAGTTTCGATTAATAATGCATTAACGAAGTCAGATACGCCGATATCAATTATTACACTTGCAGCTTTTCATTTTATAACGAAGACTGAATTCTCAGTCGCGTGTACGCAGGTGTTAATATTTTACACAGCACGTACAAACACATGTGCGACGAATAACCATTTGCTCGTCCACTTTTCGTTACGAGGAGAGCGGCTGCGGCGTTTCACCCGCAATACATATTTAGACGAGTAGCTAAAGTTGTTAAGCAAAATTAAATGAATTTAAAGTTTCACGTTTTTTTTCTAACGCACCTTTGCACCTTCGGAATTATTTTCAATAATTTTCCTCTTGAGATAGAATTTATATAAAAAATATATATATTTGTTTACACGCATTGACAAATATATCCCTTATTTGTAGACAGACTTTCGTTTACTTTGACGCACTCTCTTCTACTTTTAATAGATGAATTTTAAACATAATGCGTATAGTTATACCGGGAAAGACTTGAATTATCTCTCACGATGTTTTGCATGAAGAAAACTCACGGGGCGTAGAAAATTTTATCCTTAATAACTGGCGTCATGCCCGCATGGTTTGTTCGTTAAAAGGCGCGCTATTATTACAACACTTCTTTGCGGCCACGTGCATAAAGTGCGCCTCTTATTACGATCTATCCGTGGTGTAGAAATATGCGAGTCTGTTTGTCGACGGGACACATGTAGACTGGGATATGGCGCGTCGCATAAAAAATAGTATACGCACGCGAATGTATAAAAAAAAAAATTATTAACCATAGTATGCGCACGCCGAACGGCAAACAACTATTGCCCAGAGTGTTTTTGGGCCAACCGCGAAGTGTATTCGATTTTGTTGTACCCGTGTAAAGCTATACAGAGGACGCGCGGTAAAAAAAAAGGAGAGGGAGAGAGAGAGAGAGAGACAGAGAGAGAGAGAGAGAGAGAGGATGAGAGAGTATGGCGCGTATAATCCGCGCATGAAAGCTTGCGATTTGCATTGTTGAAGGCGCGCATTGTTATCCGCGCGCATATCTCGTATACTTCGAATGAATTACTGAATCGTAAACTACAAGACGCTGTAGAATAAATTAAACAGGATAATTACGCTGGCTGAACATTAACGCCGCGGCAGTATTACAAATATCGGGAGGGAGGGGGGAAGGGTATTATGTCATCAAAACGTTTAATTAAGCTGCTTAGACGCTACTTCAGCATTCTGAAAATGTAAAATGTTGATTAACGCGAAAAGTTGTTGAAATGTACGGGGATAGCCGAGACTTGTTAGCTTTTCTCGTTAATCGCGAAACATAATAGCATCGACGTAACAACGTTTTTCGGTGCGAAATTTGAATGTCCACCGTAACCATTAACCTTTTCCTCGCTTTATTTAGCTTTTTCTATATTTGCGCATGATATTGTAACAAATGAAAAACGCTCTGTATTCATTTGATCGGTTACGTTTCAAAATTCGGTACATCTACCCCTTTATTGTTCTGTTTGTTATTTGGATACGTATATTAATTGTTTCGTGGAAGCATGCTAAGTAATTTAAATTTTTTTTTATTGTCGCGTATCTCGTTTTGTGTCTCTGTACTTATAGCGTTCTCCGAGTTTTTTATATTTTGTAAAAAAAAAAAAATCAGTAGTACATACATATTTTAGATTAATATTGCATAATTTTGAACGAGATTTAATTTATATTATTTTCCCATTTTATCGCGCGCTTTATTTTAACTCGTCCGATCCGTAATATAACATTTTATGCAAAATTCGTTCAATCTCGCATATCACGGCGCCGCTATAATTAGCGATCAATTGACGAAGATGCATCCGTCGGGATTACAGGTCGGCAAGGTCGGTCCGCATACAAATGTACGGTTATCGAATTTTATTTTACAGACGGCCGCGTAAGTGTAGATCGACACGCGTTAAAAGCGCCGTATAGTTAAAATACCTCAAAATAACGGCGAGATTTAACGCATTTAATCGCACGATAAAAGCTTTATTTCTGTGAGAAAAAAAGTCATCGATGCGATGAATCAGCCGGCGCGAGTTTCGCAGCAAATCATACACCATATTCATACTCGCGTTCATGCCCGCGGCTTTAAATTCTAATTAATCAATTCACACGACACACGTACATTATAAACGCATTCGGCGCCGCGGCCGATGGCGAAAAGCTCGAGAACAGAAAAATAGCAATTTCAAAAATATTTCCAACAAATATACATTTGTATACACGTGTCACTAGCGAGTATAACTTAACTCACGGCTTATTGAATATATTTTATGCATTTGTGTTGCAAATTGTTACCGAACGTATTACGAGTACTCGCTGCTTTATTACTGCTCGCTCTCTTTCTCGGGAAGACTCAACGTAAAGTACAAAAAACGATCTCTCGATGTTCTATATTAGCCGTTTACCGTGCTAACATGTATATATTACACGAATACGCGCGGGAGAAAATTAACCTGGGTTAATTCTGGCGTTACTGAGTTTCTCGCAAGCTTAAAATGGCGTGAAGAAATTTTTATTTTTATACACTTTTACGCGCGAAATGAACGAACGTGAACTGCCGCGTTTTGGTGCAGCGTAATGAAAAAATACCACTCTTCAATCGCTCTTTAATCCACAGGCGCAGTTATTCTAATAGGAATCGGCATGTGTAGCCGTTTTCTCGTCGTTCATACCGTCGTCTTATTTCCTTATTTCGAGCGAACGAGCGGAAAACTCGCGCTCGCGGAAAAATGCAAGAAATTGCGGGCGGAGGCGCGCAAAAAGGCACCGGTACGCTGACATCTGCCAGAAGCAGCCCGGAGCGACCCATTTATTTCCGCGGGATTACCCGAATTTCAGATTCCCTTATCGCTCTAGCAACGTGCGCTTATGCGTTTCCAAGTCGGCTAATTAGCGCCCGGTGCTTGCTCTGCCGCGAGCGCCGACGGGTTGCGCCGCTCCGCGCCACGCCGCGCGCCGTGCCGAGCCGAGGCCGCGTTTCTTGCGAAAATTCACCGGCTGCTTACCTTGTAATTTCCCACTTTCCTGATGGTACAGGAGAGGGCGACCTCTTTGCCGATAGCGGCGGTCACGTTGCCGATCGGCTCGGAGAAGCTCGGCACATCTGCGAACCAAAAGAAGCTTCGCGTTATGCTTCTAATTAAGTTCAGGCATACTGAGACGCTTACACAAGTAATGCGATACCTTATAAAATTTCAACTGATAGACTTTTTAAATAAAAAATTCTGAAAGAGGGAAATAAGAGAGAGGGAGACATCGTTGACATTTACATTCAGAAAGTTGCCTGGATAAAAGTTAAATTGCACAGAAGCTTTTTGTGTGTGGAACTCGCGATTGTAGTTTTAATAACATTTTTTTTTTTAACAGATACATAGCAATTTTCCAACGAAATGCTCGATGGAAGACGTCGCGTTTTTGTCAACTTTTACATTATCGGATATGTCTAGGTAATAAAAGATCGGTAATTAAAATTATAATTAAACCGCGAAATCGAGTAATGAGCATCAAAAGTTACACTACAAATTATAGCATTGTTCGCTGAATATTGGAATTAAATTGGTCGTAGAATATAGGTGAAATGTAATAATGGATTAACCGCAATAGATTAATCGCCTTTATTGATCAATCAATGTTCCCTGGAGGACAGTTGCCCTGGGGGGTGCAATTATAATTCAGGTGGTTTAGACCACACGTAAACTTAAATAATGTATAACTGGGGAATAATGGAAGACTTAAAATAACGATTGGGGGACGAACTCCCTCAAGTAATTAAAAATACATAAAGTATATAATATTGCTCGAAAAGTTGACTGTAAGTTAGGAAGCGCGGGAAATATCGAAATAATTTTTAAACAACTTTTGCGAATTGTTTTGATTTTCGAAAAGGGAAAAAATCTTGTATAAAATATCCAGGTTATTCAAGGGTTTCGCATTACAAATATATCGTAAATTGCAATTACCGTGCTTACTGTACACGCGAAATTTGAACGTGTTTCGCAATTACATCCCGCGCGATGATTAAAATAAACATTTCGCGATGCATTATTGGCGCTTCAGTGATACGTCGTGTGCAAACGATACATCATGTCGCAGCGAGATTATGAAACTAATATCGTTTGTTCAACTTTCCATTTCCACGTAACGTAAAATAATGTTATAAATATTCGGACCTGCGCCGATAAATCGTTATTTTATATGAGGCTTAGTGTGCGCGCGTTGCTTTGACAAATATTTTATGCCACTCGAGGCAGACGCATGCAGTGCTTCGATGTTCATGATTCGTTGCCTCTTGTTAAAACGCACGTGACGGCGCAATAGCGGCGATTAACGGCTTGTTGACGCATATAATACCGTATCTCGAACGGTGAAGTATAGTTTTAATTTCCTGTCAAGCCCCAAATTGCAGCCCCCGTTGACGTAGATGGTGATGCACCGAGCAGTTGCTTCCTATGCATAAGAATCGCGGGGGCGCGTTACAAGACTGATATAAATGAGGAATAATAATAATGAATATTCATCAAAACGCCAACCTATGGAGAGGCGTTGATGAATTCTTCATCACAATGGCGTTAATCTAAAATATATTGTGAATAGCTCGTTCGTGGCTTTCGTGAACATACCATGGCTTACAATAAGCTCAAACACGCACGCGCGCTTGTGTGTATTTAATGTAAATTCCTCGTACAAAGTGATTTAAACATAGCTGCAGCTTATAACGCATTATTGTACTTGAAATCCGAACATTAAGATAACGGGGGAGAAATTACGCGTTTATCAACTGCATTAGAATTACTCTAGGCGGGAAGTTTGCGCGCGTTATAAAAGCGTCCCTTAATTTCCGATTATGTCATTAAGATCCGAGAACTTCGACTGTCACATCTGGGCGGGTAATCATATAATTGTTAGTGAACTTGTCCCCTTTTCACTCTCGGCCGCTTGAATTCTCGCGCACGATTCATCTCGCTGAATCTCGTTCTTTAACGTTGAAAGAACTTACGTGATCTCAGGAAATTCACGTGAAGATTTTCGCTCATCATCTTTCTGCTTCTAAGACGAAAATTACGTAATTGATCTCCCGAGTTGTCCAATTTTCCTACAATAAAAGAGTCTAGATTCATTCTTCTTGATACACATTCTGGCTTGCTCTCGAGAACAATACACCGGCGGTATTTTACCGAAAGCACCGGCGATTCTTCCCACCCAAGTCGGGCGCCATAAAATCGAGTCGGCGAATACGGGGCCTGAGAAAAGGAAAAAGCGGCAAATCGAAGCGGAAAGTATTACGAGGCACTACACACTTTCATAAGCAAGAAACTGTCTCTCTCTCTCTCTCTCTCTCTCTTGCCGTCGCGGGAGTTGCGGTGAAGGCGCGCGCGGGGCGAGAAAAAAAAAAGAAAGAGACGAGAAGTTTAAGCGAACAACATTCAGCTGTATCGCAGGCGCGGCACGTGGCGCAATATTGAAACATGCGCGAAGTCAAAGTTTGCAAATACCATCTCATCGCCGAGTCATGCTTCTGGAGTGGTGCATCGGACGCGTACTGCACCATCCGCCGGAGCTTTCCATCGGAACGGAAGAAGCCGCGATCGCAAACTCTGTCGTCCAATCCGAAAACGTGCGATACTACGGGATGTGTCGGAACTGTAACTTGGATCTTTCCGGCCGTTTCGTGCGTGGCGAGACTATGGACGAGCAGTGCCGGACGAAAGACTCCGGAGTTAGTCGTGTGTCGAAAGTGTCGGCGTTGGTCTGCGAGGGTCCGCCGATCTCGGGGGGAGACGGAGCGCCCGGTGGTATTATGATAAGATATTCACTGACGGAAACAGGAGAGGAAAGGAATTTTCAGCTTCCACCGCCGTCGTCCCCGCGGCCAGAATGTAATATAAGGAGACGTGGGGGAAAATAGCGACGTTATTCGCTTCGAGTGGCCCCGTCTGTGGGGACGAGCTGGAAAGATAGAGAAGAGAGAGAGAGAGAAAGAGAAAGGAAGAGTACTAGAGAGATTTTGCTTCTCGAGAGGGATGATACCCGCGCGAGCGGTAGGCGTGTGTACGTGTGGGCGCGCATGCACCCACTCGTACTGGTCTTGTTTTATGGCGAAATTATTCCGGGAGAAAAATAATTCAATCTCCGCGCGCGGTGTACAAGTTACGGTGCTTGGCATCCGCGCTCCCGACTACTCGAGTACCGTGCTCGTTTCTGCGGACCCGGAATGCCGATCGAGAAGAGCGGATCGGCTTTCACTTTCGGCTCTCGACATCGGTATCCCGCACCGATAATCACGTGAAAAATAAAAGGCTCGCGCGCGCGCGCCTCGTCGGGGAAAATTGATCCTCACCGTCGTTGTTTTGCCGTGTCTTCGTTTACGAGAGACGAGAGAACGATAGACGACGAGAACGCGACAAATTATTTACGTGGTCGCCTTCCTCGGTTCTTTTACACGTCATTGCGAGAGGAGTGACTTATGCATTTTTCAAGCGGAATTTTAAGATCACTTGGGACGATGGCGCAATCGAAATACGAATTTCCAGCTTTCGAGAGGAAGGAAACTTCTTAAAATATTCGATTTTACGCAAAGGACGGTTAGATTGTAAAAATATATTAATCTGACGGTGTATTACATTTTGTAAGGAAATGTTTACGTTTCGGTACATGCAATCCAAGGTATAGCTTTTTTTACGACGTGAGTGAAGGGAATAACTGTAATAGACGAATATCCCCGAAACCATTTGAAATATCAAAAAATCGTTTTGAATTTTCAAGTAAAAGTTTGATGGAACACGAGCGCGTATGCAATGGAAACATGGAAAACCTATATAGCAATCGAATAACTAGACGTCAAAAATCAGGTGTCAGATTTCGTAGTTGCACTCGAACGACTTGCACTCGTTATCGTTTCCATTTCAAACTAGTGTTCGTTAAAACAATTTAAAAGTTCGTAAAATCTAAGGCACATTAATTTGACAACATTATAAGTTTGAAAAAAAGCAAAATAAAATAATTATATACATATAATTATTTTAGTTTGCATATTTTATATGTAGGTATATATTTAGATATAGGAGTCTTTTCTAATTTTTTGTTTAAAATTTTTTATGATATTTCTTTATATTTAACTGTAATATTTTAAATGTAAATTTTTGAGAAATGCGAATGTAGGTATAGCTATTAAATCGAAATTATTAATGGAGAACCAAATGAGATAACGTAATTGTAATGCATGTATTAAATGAAAATTGTTTCCGGTTTATAAATTACAATATAGTTTTTAATGCACATTACAATCTAATTTTGTAATGTGTTTTATTTTCGCAATGTTAATAGTTTTCATGCTCATTTTACGATTTCATTATCAATTACGCAAGGCAGTATTTAAAACATTTTTAGATTTTTACATTTGGTGATCACGCTCGTTTGTAAGGTGTTGCGAATGCGGCGGCGGCGAATAAAAGTTTATACGGCGGCCAGTAGTAAAGGTAAGGCATGAGACCGACGCGGGGAGACGTTGTTATTTCTTTCCACGTCGTAAAATACGTAACTACGTTAGCGGCTTTAAGCAATCGAGATTCGAACGTGATAGAAACGACTGCGCACCGTTTCTGTGGCAGTTTCTCTGCGGGAAGCCTCCGGGGCGAGAAACTTGATATCAAAATAAATGGCCGTACCATATCGTGACGTTGTAAAGAATCCGAGGGAATTCGGGCGTGTGCGACGATGTTAAACCAAACAATATTGTACTCGTGATACATGTGAACATTATCCCAATCGAGCGATAAATCCGTCAAGAGATCGGTTTTTTTTTCCAAAAAAAAAGGCACGACACATAAATAACCGCGAAAGTTATATAATAAATCTCTACGATTGTTATAAAATTTCTGCAAAATTACTCAGCTTCAACAAGGATCGGCGTTTTCGGAATAATTGTAGAAAGGGAGCTGCCTGGAAAAGCGAGAAAGGTGCGGGACACAATTTAAAAGTGGAGAGGAAGAGGTCAATGCAATTCATAAAACTTCATGAATACGATTTTAAACGTTACAGAAATGAAAGAAGTTACCACAAACGATAATTGTACCTTCCCATTCTGCATAATTATACGATTTCATT